GGGCTGAGAGAGAGTGACTGGCCCAAGGTCACCCAGCTGGCTTTGTGCCTCAGGTGGGACTAGAACTCACAGTTTCCTAGTTTCTAGCCAGATGCCTTAACCACTATTCCAAACTGGCCCTCTACAAGCCTTACATTACATTGCCCCCCCTTTTTTTTAAAGTCCCAAGATTAGTTTTAGTACAGATCTGAAGATTTCAGATTTTCAGTTTGCTTTCATCCTCATGGGCAACTTTTTCATTAACCTGGTGGTGAGCGTGAAGGACCGCTGACACTGTTCCAATCCTGCAACTTGCTATTACCTCAGGAGAGAAACTATTAGCACCACCATCAGCTTCTCTCCCCGGTGGACAGAAACCACCCTGGGCTCTGATCCAAGCTGAGGCTGCAGAAGAGCCCGGGCCTGCAGCTGCTTTCCCCAAATCATTCTGCAATCTGCACCAACCCTCCCCTCTCTGCCTGTACAGAACAAATGAGGGCTACTTGTATGATTAATGCTGCATCTAGTTGGACCCTAAAGAGTCTGTAGCTAATCTTTGTATAACAATATTTACTGTTGTGCTCAGATCATTAGTAACTCTTCTTGCAAACAGTTCCACATTTAATCACCTTCAAAAACAGAACCATTCTGGCTGCTTTGTCATTTGTCCCACTCATTCGATGGGTGGATTCCATGTCTGGAGTGATTCATAATGAACTCTTTTACTGGCACCCATTAGGATTTCTCATCAGAATCAAGAAATACTACATGAACAAAATTAATCGGATGCTTGCAGCAGAGAAATTTGTGAGTAAGCTTTAGAATTACTTGGATAAGCATAATGTATTTGCTAGAAGTAAGGTTCTTTAGAAGTATATGGGAGATTGTATTCCTCTTTTTTGATCAGGCTGTATGGGATATTTATCTAGTTTTGGGAACCACATTTTAAAAGCAACATTGGTACACCTGGCAGCATTCAGAGGAGGACAACCAGGATGGTGAAGAGGCCAAACCCCAAATCTTTGTGGAATAGTTATGAGAATTGGTTATATTAGTCTGGGGAAAAAAGATGAAGAGAAGCCATATTTGGATGTCTGGCAAATGCAGGCATGCCACCTCTTCATCTAAGGGCTGTGACTGTGGCCCTAGAAGGAAAAAACCTCATAGTAGTAGATGAATATTGCAAGAAGCCTAATTTTCAATTAAAGTTTAGGAAAAACTTCCTTATTGTATTCGGTATTAAAAAATGGAGTAGGCTGTCTTGGGAGACGATGAGGATTTCCTTCACTTGAGGTGTTTCAGAAAAAAAAAATCCTACACTGTAGATCCTGTATTCAATAGGACATTAGACTTAATGGCTTTGCTTGAAGATCCTTGCTGATGTATAACATTTTGATTCTTCTTTTAATCTCCATTACACAATCTGTCTTTGCATGTTTACATGGAAACAAGGACCACTGTGAGCAGTATGAGCTACTTTCAAGGAAAGATGCATACAATTTTCTGCATTGTATTAGTTTTGACTCATGTGGCCATTTCCCCACTTGCAGGTAGTTGGGAAAACACACAATCTTCCACTGTATTTAGAACAGCAGCAGTATTTCTGCAGTATCGCTTTGATCAAGGCATGATGCAGCCAGCAATTGGTAGACAAAGACCAACGTGGATTGACTTTCAGTAATCAACCATCTATTTTATATTTGATGGACTGTCTGAAATCAAATTTGATTCATTGAATGGCTGAAGCAGGTACCCCTTTCTACATACTGTGATGCTGCATTAAGTTGTAGCTGAGCCTTTGAAGTTGTTAAATTTCTTGAAACAGAAATGGCTTGACCTGCTGAGAGGATATTTTATAGCACTCTTCCCCATCCTGGCAATCTGAAAATGGCTACATTATGCCAGTTGCCCTCCAACACATCTTGGAGGTCATATGTCCTACAGTTTAACCCTATTGTGGAAACCGAATTGGTTCAGATAGGAGGCCGAACATGTTTGTGTGGAGAAATAATGTATTTGAGATATGTTGGAATCCCAGGTACAATGTTTTGTAAAAGCTGTTCCCTTCCTTACTGGGCATCTGCTTTGGAACAAGAATAGATATAATACAGCTACAAGAATAATAATGAAAGAGGGAATAAGTAGTACCTTAGTAACCTTGAGAACAGTTTCTGTATAAATATGTACCCCAATTCCAGGCGACCTGCTGTGTTCTAGCTAAAATCAGAATACAATGTTACAGAATTAAAATGATATTTGTAAGGGACTAGACTCTCATTAGAGGATAACATTGGCAACATTTATTTTATATGATTAGAAGTTGATTGGTTGTTGTGTTAAGGAATCAAATATGCACTTAAATCAGCTACGTTTCTTTATAAAGTAATCCTGTTATAATGCAACAATAGAAGAACCAAGTAACAAGTCAGAATTGTAAAGCTTTATTTTCAGGTAATATATAAATCATGGAGGAAATCACTCTTAAATGCTGGCATTTTTAAATTTTTAAAATAAAAGAAAAGGAAAGAGTATTTGGGAGTGGGAAATATAACTGAAAACTAGGACTACTGGTTATGTCTGACTTGAATTATGTATTTGCTTTCATTTATCCCTTTATATTGAATACCAGCCTAGATAAATTGCAGAGGAATCAAATAATCACTTTTCCCATGCTCTTGGGTATTTGTGCAATAATTCCTTTTCACATATCAAATGTATTCTCATGGTAGGCCCTAGGCAGAAATACCCTAAGCCAGTTTTCTCAACCTTGGCAACTTTAAGATGTCTGGATATGAACTCCCAGAATTCCATACATGCTGACTGGGGTCTACACATGCTGGCTGAGAAATTCCGGGAGTTGAAGTCGATATATCTTAAAGTTGCCAAGGTTGAGAAACACTGCCCTAAGCCAATGGAATCACAATAGAGCCCATGGAAATTTTCCTGCTTCAAGGTAGAGGCTACACAGATGAGCTGCTTGGCTTGTTCTTCATGCCAAGAATGTGGGTACTTTGGCTACTTGCTTATTATAGGCCTTTCAGGCCTGAACAAAGAATTGAAGGATTTGAAGGATTAATGTATTGAAGAATTAATTTCCTTTTTTGTTTTATTTCCACCAAGTGAATGCACTGGATCTCTGGAGTATAAAGAAAATGGATTTTGCCACATTTCTCCGGCAATCATGGAAACTCTTTGTGACTGAGGGGAAGCTGAGCTGGAATAATAAGATGGTCCTCTTTGCTCTCTGCAGCTCTCTCAGTTTCATAGCAAGTGTGTTCCTGCTTCTACCTGGGTATTCCTTCCTGCGGGACTATCCAATGCTTTCTATCATCACAGTCAATATTTTATGGATTCTCCTTTCTGTAAATCTGTACTTCTTCAGGTCCTTCCGCTGCTTTGTTGTGCTGTTCTTCCTTTCTTGTGGACTGCGCGAAGGCAGAAACACTCTCATTGCTGCTGGGACTGCTATGGTGGTTGCTGGCAACATCCAAAATATTTTTTTTAACCTGAAGCAGCTGGCAGATAGTGTGACTTGCACTCTTGATTCCCAGAACTGGGCTTTCCTTGACTTCACCTATCTTAAAGCCATTCGGTGGATTTTCAATCAGATCAAGTTTTCAGGACATCTGTTTGTGGTGCGTGACAGCTTAAACGTGTCTTTCTTGGTTTCAGATGAAGACCTGAAGCTGCAGCTGGAAAAAACAAAACTGGGCATTCACAACATCACTAGCCAGATCTCCTCCATAATAGCTCTACAGTCCTTTTTGGGCAAGAAAGTGCTACCTCTTTTGGGGACAATTTTGGTTCTCCTTGGGACATATCTCTTCATCCGAAACTTCCTGAGCCCACAGAACCTCAAGTTTAAGAACACATACATTACACAAGGGTTCGTTAAATACAACGAGCAAGTGTGGCAGCAGCAAAAACTCTCAGCCCTTCCCCTAAGTAAAGAAGAAAGAAATCTGTACTCGCTGGTGCCATCTTTTTGCCAAACACCTAAAGAGAGGAAATGCACAGCACGCTTTTTTCTTCCTGTGGTTGCTAACCTTTGCATTTGGGTCCTCTTTGCAGCGGTAGATTATTTGCTTTACTGGCTCATTTTTTCCGTGAGCAAGCATCTCCAAGATTTCCCTGAGCTAGAGGTCCACTTCAAATTGTATTACCATGTAAGTATCTTAGCTACAGCACAGCACTTTTGGCTGGTTTTTATTGCTTCAGATGCAAGTTTTCTACCGAATAAAATTATGCTAAGAAATAGGACAGAAAACCTGGAAGTGGGTAGGCACGGCATAGAAAACCCAAGGTTTGAAGGGCCTGAATATTAAACAAAAGCAAAGAGAGCATCACACTGGATGTTTAAGGCAGCTTAAAGCATCTGCTGCTTTGTCATAAAGAATGTAAGATGTGCCTGAGGGGTGAAAAATGTAAGCAGCTCAATTTTAAAAGGTCTGGAAAATGCAATGGGCTGGCCTTTAACCAACTTGCTTAAGCATGGTCTATAACAGTGTTTCTCAACCTTAGCAACTTTCAGATATGTGGACTTCAACTCCCAGAATTCCCCAGCCAACACTGGTCTATGAACTCAGCCAATATAAAGGCACTTTGCATATTCCAAGTTTCTTCCAATAAATAAATTGCCCAAATATGGAGATTCACTGGGATAAAAGACTCCCTGTTTAGAGTTCTTCCCCTATATTTATTTATTTCTTAAAACTTATATTTTATCCAGTTTAAAGTGGCATGTGTCCTTCACTTTATCCCAACCCCTCAGTAGGGAAGGCTGAGTGATGAACTGAATGGCCCCCACTAAGTCTCCATGGCTGAGGGTGGACTAGAATCTGGAACCCCCAGTCTCAGTCCAACGTCCTTAACCACTATGCCACTCTTATGTTGGTAACGGCATTGTCAGTGAAGTGGCCTACATAAACTCCTTGCCTGCGAGAGAGAGGCCATAACTGTCAAATGCAGAGACAGGGAAGCTGAAACTATTAACTGCAGGCAACATTAACAGCATCTAAGTCTCACATATAAAGCATTTGCTAATTCTGGCTTTTTCTGCAATTGTGTCTGAGCATAAGGAGAATATCTTTCTCATATTAAATTAGAGTCAGCCCCAGTAGATTTGTTACCAGATAACTTTTAATTCCCATGAGCTACTGGAAGCTGCTGGAAGGAGAAATGCATCTTGCTTTTGCTAGCCTCAAAAAGGTAATGGGAAAACGAGTCTTGAAGATGTTCTTTTTCAGCCGAGGTTTTCAGATCGGCTTGCTAGTGATCAGTGACTCAGCACGTCAGCAGATTTATGGGCCTGCACTTCCTGCCAATTACTGGGCAAACCAGAATGTTGAACAACCCTTTATATTAAGGACACAATCCCTTCATAACTCTGGAAGCTAAACAAATCTCAGCAGGCATCAAAATGTTTGTCTGATACAATGGCATAGCCTAAGAGCTTTTCTTTTTGAACAAGATTCCTGCTTTGCTTCTCAGCACATTCCTTCTTTTTAAAAAGAGAGTAAATAGACTTGTTTTATATAACTCCTGTTGCAAACACCACTTGAAATTTTTCATCTGTGAATTTTCCCTTCAGGTACTTTTGACTTCAGGTTCATTTCGTAGACTTCCATAAGACATTTTGAAAATGCTTTTTGGCTATATTCCTGTGGCAATTCAACTCAGTGCATGCTTTAGGATTAGTTTCAACGTAAATGACGTTGTGACTGATAGCAATGCAAAACATTCAGCACATAGCCCTGCTTGTTTTGACCATTGTATTTTGAGCTAGAAACACTTCCCAAATGGTTGGAACAACCATCTCAAACTTGGAAATTTTTTGCATACTTATGTTTGTTGTAAGTTGCCTTGATTTCTCAGAAAAAATAGGATAAAATACAATTAATATTAATAACATATTTATAAAATTAACAAATATTGAATTTGGCATAAAACCATGATCCAAAAGTACACAGATTTAAAATATTGAAGCACTACATGAAACAGCAAAAAAAAAAAAAAAAAAAGAAATTTAACAGAAAAAAAATTTTTTCCCTCCCCCTTTAAAAAAATTTTTTTAAAGGGGGAGGGAAAAAATTTTTTTTCTGTTAAATTTCTTTTTTTTTTTTTTTTTGCTGTTTCATGTAGTGCTTCAATATTTTAAATCTGTGTACTTTTGGATCATGGTTTTATGCCAAGCACTACATGAAACAGCAAAAAAAAAAAAAAAAAAAGGAATTAGCACTGAACAATCATTTTTCCTCTCACCCTTGAAGAAATTATTTTACAAGAAGCAATTATGAAAAACTTAAGTGTTCCAGAGAACAGGTCATTTGGGTTCACCAATATAACTGGTGCTTATCTTCCAATTACAATAAAACAGGGAGGAATGTAATAACTGTTGCCTTATGGTGGGATAATGCAACTTCATGTCTCCCATTCCATGTATATGTCAATTAATTTTCTCTCCAGAGGGAAAATAAAGACTTTTAGTGTAATCAGGTGTGTCTGCAGGGTGTGGTCAAAAGAATGAAGATGGTGGCTACCACAATGTGTGATGGTCATAAAAAACAGGCAAAGCTTCGATTGCACCATCGCAGATGCCATCTTGAACTTTATTGACCACACCCTGTGGATATCTCTGAAATTCTCAAAGATAAAGTGTGCCATTCCTGTGGTTAATTATGAATAGCCAAGGGATGTGTGTGAATACCTTGACTTTCCTTATAGAATGACCTCTCCAGCAGCTCTCTGGATTTCCTAGCTCCCAGTGGGCTTTTTTGAGAATGAAGGAGACTTCAGAGAAATGTACCAGAAAATAGCAATAAGAGAAATAGCATGCTTCCAACAAAAAATTAAGCTCAAAACACCACCCAGAGACATTTGAAATAAGTTTACCAACACCTATTCAAGACAGAAAAACAAAAGCTTCTTTCCAAGATTTTCTTTTAGACATTGTATGGTAGATTTTGGAACACCGTATATATAGCTAGAGGAGAGGAGCATATAGGCAAACATCCCTTGAGGGCCAATTATTGAGCCTAAGCAAGTGTTTGCTTCTTTTCACTGATAAATCACAAACAATCTTTGAATGCCTGCAATGAGTGGGAACAGTGGCTGGTTGCCAGGTTTATGTTAGAGAGAGAATAATCCTGCTTTTAACAATTAAGCACTGAACTAAACTCTTTGCTTAGGTATTTATTTAAAGTCTTCTCCAATATGGCAATCTTGAGATGTTGAACTAGGTCAGCCAGTATGGCTGTGCTGTTGGAAATGAGTGGAGCTGTAGCCCAAACTAAGTGACCACATTAACATCCTCCATTAAATTGAACATTTAATTTTACGCTGAATTGTATGGTACAGTGAAGAAGGAAATGCTAGGGTATTGCAACATTCTATGACCATCACTTTGATCAGATAATGATAGTGTATGTATGCAGTGATGGTGGTGGTGATGGTGGGATTATAAGAGATCTACCATTCCTGATTCCCCTCACCTGGCTCGTGCTAACCTGTTGAAGCTCTTCAGTTTGTTTCCATTTAATAAATTGTACTGTAGTCACTGCCCAATGCTCAGCACATTCATATACCCAATAGACAACACATACACATACACACAGACACAAATATATAACATTCAATTCATAAGTTAGGTAACATATCCCTAAATAACAATATAAACTATTTTGTTTGACTGTACCTCATTCTTCCCTAAGAGTCACACTAAGCCCATAAGAGTCAAGACAGAATTTGGCCTCTGTGCAACTCATTCTGAAATCTTGGTCCACAAGTAGTAATCATCTGAGCTACCCACAATTTTGGAAATCATAGGATATAACAAAGTGTTGCAAAGATCCTTAGAAAAAGAGGAATATTGAAGGGCTCAATTATATCCCCACCAAAACAGAAAAAATATTTCTTAATAGGGTGATTTTTTAAATACCTGCCTCCTAGAATTGCAAGGTGAGAATTGCTGAGGGGATCATCATCAGCAACAAAAGTATGTCATTAACCAGCCTGAGTTGCTTGTTCACCCAATGACATATAATTAATAAGTTGAAAACTGTTAGTTCTTTCAAATACCAATTACTGAAAGGTGAATAGTTCCTGTTCAAATTTGGGTTATATTTGTGTTAAATCTCAAGAGGCCCACTTGCTGCCTTACTCCAGACTCAACCCTCTGTGCACTGTTTGCTTCTTATTTCTTAGCTAGTTCCACTTAAATGGATCTCTCGAGAAGCCTGGAGACAGAGAACACTCTCTCCTAATCAGGACAGCTCAGACACAGGAACTTCAGCTGTACAGTCTGCCTTTTGCGTGCAGTGGGCGGGGGCGGGAGTGCTCGGACCTCACTTCATCCAGACTCTGCTATATAAATTGGTCAGCAAATCATGAAATGTTGATGGCATAATTTCCCATTCATTTCTGACAGAAAGCCAAAGAAATAAGGCCTGGGAAGCTTTCAGAGAGCTTTTACACACATAAAATAGCAAAAACCTCAGTAAGCTTTAAAAAATTAAGTAAGGAAAAAACTTCAGCTCTGCATGATATCATCATCCCAACCTCTGAATCCCAGACACTGGAAATAACACTATATATTAAAAAAGCAAACCTTTGGCTCTTAGCAGATAAGATACTTCATTGTAAGTACCAGCCGTTACTGTTTCACAGCAGCTGGGAGAAGATGGGGAAGGAATATCCATCTCTCCTGGCAGTTGCCTTTCCTTTCTTTCCTTTCTTTTTTCTTTTCTTTTCTTTTCCTTTCTTTTATCTTTTCTTTTTTTCTTTTGCTAGAATGCTATTTTCTATTTTCATTTCTTAGTACAGTTCCTCCTCTTCACTCAGGACCTTATAGACACCATGCCCACCCCACAAGCCACCTGCTCTCATTACTGTTATATTAGCACAACTACTGTTGGGTGATGCTAGAAAATGATATAAATCATAGTTATCCAAGGGAATCCACGCTATTAATCCAAATGCTTATGGCACTTCCTCAGCCCTTCAGTCCAAACAGCGCTTCCCCAAGCTGATGCCTTCAGGCATGTTGGTCAAGAGTTCCCAGAATTCTCAATCTGCATGCTGTGAGTTGCTGTCCAAGGCATCTGCAGGGCACAAGATTGGAGAAATGTGCTGGGCCTTGTTTCCAACCCTCATACATTCAGACGAGGGTTTCAACAGGGCAGTACAGCATTCAAGGAGAATAAAATGGTGCTCTTGTCCAAGAGATTTGGCTTCCTACAGATATCTATTCACCATTCAGTTAAGATGCAGTCCTTGGTAGACTCCCTTTGTGCCAGTGGGAAAAACCTCCCCCAATTGCTCTCCTTCATGTGGGGTAGAACTGGGGGAGGAGACAAGGTCTGACAGATGGTTCGAGTGGGGGGATTTAGCCATCTATCAGAATCTGATCTGGGTGAGCTCGCAGTGAACAGGAGAAGTACTTAGCAGTATCTGCTGCAAAGGGGGACAAGGTATGGCTAGCTCCACCCACCAGTGATGGCACTGCACAAGCCCCTCCTTTAAGTGCCTATGTCATGATGTCACTGTGGGCAGGGCTTGCATTGCAACATCCTTGCAGATGCTCAAACTCTGTGAAATCAGATTGTGTTCCTTGCTTGCCAGAAAAAAAAGCAGGCTAACTTCCCTAATTTCCCCTTGCTTTCTGCTGGTATGATCTGTTTTTCACTGGCAAGGAATAATTAAATCACCATTTATTTATTTTTTGGTCACACTCTGCTTGGCTTTTTAATGTTTGTTTTCTGGGGTTCAAGTTATATCCATTGACTTTACTGGCTATTAGTGAGGATGCCTCCCTCTCCCAGCTTGCTGGCTGGGGAATTCTGGGAGTCGAAGTCCACACGTCTTAAAGTTGCCAAGGTTGGGAAACACTGTCTTACAGCACCTTTCTATGTAGCCAACAGTCATTACCTGAGGAATTGCATAGATCACCTATGTGGCATGTCAGCACCATGTTGGTGGGTGGGGGACAGTTCTGGCTGAAGTTCTCCCTTCCCTGCCAGAAATGTGTAAGCAACAGTGTTGGCTAAATTGGGAGAACATCCTGCATGGCGTATGGACAGGTAGTCATATTGTTGATGTGACTGATAGGAGCAAGGCAGATCTCATCCTCTATTAGGTCATTGGCCCAAGTGGGACACTGCACAAATAGCTAGGCTTCTGCAGAGAAAAGGGGGAAAACATCAGTTCAATTTCGGTTCTGAAAAAACAAATTGGCTGGCTTCTGCCATGGGCTTGGGATAACAGAAAGGATGTCCTATGTGGAAGACTGCTTCAAGAATGGTTAGCCAGCCAACTTAATTTAGGGAGTCATGTAGAACCCTTTTACAAATCTATGGAGATCCTGCTTCTAATCACAGAATAGAGCATCTAACTGAGTTAATATGACAGCAAATATTTATTGAGGTGGGCTGTGTGGGACAATAAGCAATTTAAGCTTCCCTTCCACCAGTTCAGTATAGGATTTGGCAGTGCCAAAGCAGCATCACCAGGAGACAATCTAGCCTCTGCTTTGACTCATCTGAAGGAGACAACCACCCCTCCTGGTAACTGGTTTCACAGTCCTCCTGTGAGGATTCCCCCCCCCCCCGCCCCCAATAGTCAATAGGGAAATGTCTTCCTGTGGCAAGACCAGTAGTCTATGTCCTGTATTCTGGAACAATAAAGGAAAGATTGTGGTCTTCTTCTGTGTGATGCCTT